GTTGGATCTTCCACACTAGACTTAGGTTCTCATATATTGACTACACTTTCTATACACACTCTTATTTATGGGTCCCATTTTGAGGTTTGGAAAGTAATGGTTCTCAGAGTCTAGACCAGGTTTCAGGAGTTTTCCATTTTGTTGCATCATCAAAAATTGCTTGAGAAAACAAAACCTACTAGACTGTATATTAAAAGTACCATGGTGGTTAATGCAGTTAAGAGTATGGTGTCAACTCCAGGCAGTTTAGAGTTGTGAAAAAAAGAAAATATTTTCATACACTAAACACACAGACATGGCTTTGGTATTTCATGGCACTCATTATTTTAAATTGAAAATAGGGTTTTTTCCTTACAATTTATTCTGATCATGGTTCCCCTCCTCCAACTTCTCCACATCCTTCCAACCTCTCCAACCACCCAACTTGTGTCCTTTAACTAAATTCCAAGGAATGCTCATTGCTACCACCTAAATCCAATTTCAAACGAAAGAACCGTTGTCTTGTTCAACAGTATTACTTGTCTGGTCTGAGAAGCTACAGAGAATGTTTACTTTAATAAGGGGGTGGGAAAACTAGTTCATGGTCTACAGACAACTCATAGGCTTTGCTTCTCGTCCTAAAAATCAGAGAATTAACCTCTACTAAAAGTGTCCATTTGGTTTATAATGTCAGTTAGCTCCATCATTTATGTTTAGTTTTTTTTTTGTTTTGTTTTGTTTTTTTTCCTGAATGACCTATCTATTGGTGAGAGTTTGGTATTGAAGTTTTCCACTGTCAGTGTGTCCACTGTCAGTGTGTGAGAATCAATACGTGAGTTAAGCTGTAGTAATGCTCCTTGTATAAGCTTGAGTGCCCTTGTGTTTGTTGCATAGATGCTAAGAACTACCCTGTCCTCTTGGTAGATTTTCCCTTTGATGAATATGGCATGTCCTTTCCTATCTCTTCTGATTAGTTTTGGCTTGAAGTCTATTTTGTCAGATAATAAAATGAATATACCAGGTCATTTCTTGGGTCCATCTGTTTGGAATATCTTTCTCAATTCTTTTACCCTGAGATGATATCTATACTTGATATTAAGGTTTTTTTTTCTTGGATGAAACAGAAAGATGAATCCTGTTTTTGCATCCATTCTGTTAATCTGTATCCTTTTATTGGGAAATCCAGACCATTGATGGTGAGAGGTATCAATGACCAGTGATTGTCGATTCCTGTTATTTTGTTGTTGTTGTTGTTGTTATTGGTGGTGGTGGTGGTGGTGGTGGTGGTGGTGGTGTGTTTCCCTCTTTTGAATTTTCAGATCTGGGATTGTTTCCCTGTGTCTTCTTAGATGTAGTTACTCTTCAGGTTGGAGTTTTCCTTCTAGCACCTTCTTTAGGGATGGATTTGTACATGGATATTGCTTAAATTTGTTTTTATCATGTAACATGTTACTTTCTCCATCTGTGATGATTAAAAGTTTCCTCAGTGTAGCAGTCTGGGCTAAAATCTGTGGTCTCTTAAGAATCTGCAGCACATTTCCTTTCCCTGTTTGTTTGTGTTTTCATACATTTCTTAAAGGGATTTATTTATTTACTCTTTAATGACCCCTACCATAGTCACAAAAGCTGTCTTTTTTTCATGTGTTTCTGCTATGTTGGAATATTCAGGGCCTGCAGTGGTAGGGTTGCTAGTCTCTAGTGGAAACATATCATCCTGGCTGTTATTGTTTATGTTTTTATGCTGACATGTAAGCATTGAGGTTGGAAAGATTATAATTCTGGTTTCCAAAGTCTGGTTTTTAAATCTGGTTTTGCCTTTGTTGGGTAGGAGTTTTGTTCCTTGATTTCTGTTTTCCTCTGGTTCTTAGGAGAGTTTGATGACTGTGTATTGCCTGGGAGGAAATTCTTCTGGGGTCCTGATAGTTATGGCCACTGAGTTCCAGGTAAAATGTGTTTCTGGATATTGGGAGCTGACACTTAGGAATGGGGATGGACTGGGGGAGGGAGCCACTGATGGGGGTTTACAGAAGGGAGAAAATCAGGGCGCTCCACCAGAATCTGTTTAGTTAGTCCCTTGGAAATGGGGGCAGAGAGTGAGGAAGGCCACATGAGAAGGTCTGCTACAGATCTTGGGGTGAGACTGGGGGATTGGACTTGGAGGAATGGAAGGAGAGGTGAGTTGAAGAGCTGCAGTTAGCATTCCTGGTCAGAGTGGCCTGTGGGTTCCCAGGGAGTATCTACTGGAGTTGTGGGCTGAGAAAAAGCAATGGGTTGGAGAAGGAATTTTGGAGGGGAAGATCTGTGTAATCCTCTAGAGATGGGGGTAGGGTTGAGGCTGCAGCTGGTATTCTGCCACAGAGCTGAGGATGTGACTGGGGGGTTGGATCTGGAGGAGCAGAAGGAGACGTGAAACTCTGCAATTAACCCACTTGCTAACCTGGCCAGAGTGGCCTGTAGGTTCTCAGGGAGTGCCCCTGGAGTTGGGAGCTGGGATAAAGCAAGGAGTTGGGGCAAGTTAGGAAAGAAAGATCTGTGGGACCCACTGGAGATGGGGTGGCTGCTGCAGGCATTCTTGGGCAGAGCTGGGGATGAGACTGGACATTGGATCTGAAGGAGCAGAGGGAGAGGTGAAGATCTTCAGTCAGCTCTTTCTACTTTTAGCAGTAAGATAACCTGAGTCCATTTGGGGCTAACCACATACTGTCGGCTGTGGGGTGATCAACTCTAATCATACAGACCCTTTCAACCATCCCTGAATTTATGTGGAGAAAGATGATGGTTTCTGTGTGACTAAATAATGAGGACATTCATTCCTAGCCACAGATCTCCAGCAAGGTGAGAGAAACTGGAGATTAAAAGACAACTCTTTGTTCAATCATGCTTCCATGAAAACTGTATAAAAGATCCTAAATGATAGGATCCAGGCTGGTGACCTTGAGGTACATGGAGGGTAGCACACCAGGAAAAGCTATGGAAACTCTGGAGAGTGTCCAATCTCCATCTTTTGCCTCATCCATCTTTTTGATGTGGTTATAGGCTTTCTAATACACTGGTAAACATGAGAGTAGGAGCCCTTGGAGCAAGTTGTTTAACCCAACAAACGGAATAAGAACCTTTGATTTATAGCCAGTTAATCAGATGATATCTTAGGAACTTCAATTAGAATGGACTAGGGAGACTGTGGGATAACAATCTAAAAATAGTCATGCATTGACAAGGCACATCATCGACCTCCTTGCCCAGTAGTAGGAAAACCTACATTATAGGGTGCTAAGTGCTACCTCTAGTATTTTATTTATTTTAAACTTCTAAGTCAACATGATGGATCCCAACAGGGCAGGTGTGGATGTTATAGGTATGGGTACCCTCAGGAGGCCACACTAATGTCTAGGACACTCTCCAGTGATTCAAAAGACAGAACTAATTCCCATGACTTCTGCTTTCCTAAGAACTTCCTTAAGAAGGCTTCATTTCCCCATCTTACTTTCTAGGAATTTGAGAAACTACTATATCACCTTTGAATATGTAATCATTGTAATTATAATCCGTGAATACATAATCATAAAACACCTTTGATGACAGTGTCACCCCTTAGTGGAAAGTATAAATTTTGTGTACGCCAAATAAAACATGAGACGGATCATAATAATCATAGAGATTATGGTGTCGTGGGTGTCATAGGAAGGAACATCTTCTAAACCAGTGCTTCTCAACCTTCCTAATGCTGTGACCCTTTAATACAGTTCCTCATGTTGTGGTGACCCCCAATCATAAAACTCTTTTGTTGCTACTTCATAACTGTAATTTTGCTACTGTTACAAATCAAAATGTAAATACCTGATATGTGACCCACAGGTTGAGAACCACTGCTTTTTTTTTTATTATTATTAATTAGGGAATAAGCTTGTTTCACATGTAAGTCCCTTCTCCCTCTCCC